TCTTCTTGTATTAATGCGCATTAGAGCTCAAATTGGACGCATTTCTGTCAAAGGGAACTATCTGCTTTAAGACATGAGCCCTGAGACCCGTAAGAATGCATACAAAACAGGGCTCACGTCATAACGCACGTAATTCCGTTTGACAGAAATATGTCCAATTGTTTACTCTCATGATTGATTTTTTTGGAATTTTCTGGCCTTGCGTCGTCCTCTCCCCCCCCCCCTTCCGAAAAAAAGTGTGCAGTGTGCACCCAGTACCATTTTACCACTTTGTTACATACAATGCGAATCAGGGCCGGATCAAGGGGGTGGCCACATGGGCCGCGTCCCATGGCGGCAAATTTTGCAATTTCTTTAAATGTAGGCATAAAAAATTCAAATTTAGAAAAAAAAATTACAAACGAGAAAAGGCAACAAAATCTCTCATTTCCTGAGAGTATAGTAATTTCTAATTTTGTCGTCTCTCAGTGATACAAGAGACAGCACCTTTAATTAGTCGAGTTAATAGAGAAACCAAACACGCAATTTGACCTGGAACGGCGCGACTTAGAGAGAAATGATGAAGAGGACTTGAGGTGAAAAGGAGAAGCCTTCGGCGCGGCGGTCGGCATGTAACACATATTAGCACCCACAAGACAGCACGAATACTTCACGCATTGCATCAAACACAGTGCGGCCACAGTCAGCGTGAAACGGATAGCGCCTACAAGAATGCATGAATACTTCACGCATTGCGCCAAAGACAGTGCGGTCAGCGTAAAACGCTTAGCGCCTACAAGACTGTCGGAATACTGCACGCATTGCGCCAAACTCAGTGCAGTCTGCGCGGCGCGGCGGCGGAAGTTAAAATCATTAAACTACATTTATGTTCGTTCTTTCATAATTTTTTCGTTCATTTCTTATGAATTGAAGGCCTTGTCTACACAGAGATATATGTTTACGGAACTTTGGAACGGTTTTTATTGATGTTTCTAAACGAATGAGAAGGGGGCGGCAAAATACAGGCGGCCCATGGGCGGCAAGTAGGTAAATCCTGCCCTGATGCGGATCACATTTTTCGTGTTATTTTCTTGCTTAATTTTTAGGTGTAAAATTGTAACCTCCTTAGCAATACAATAATCATATCGCACCGTTGAAATTTCAAGGAAAAATAACCACGATTTTACTCGAAAATAAAAGTTTTATCGGAGGAAATTTTGTGGCGTTCGCGTGTTCCCACTTCCCAGGACACTCTTCCTCAGGACCGTAGTACTATCCGATCTAGCAACAGCAGTTCAACTGTCGAATCGTTATCGAAAGTTCGATAAATAGCATTGCTAAGATAGGGATCAATCGACAAAGATTTAAGAATCGACCCGCGACGACACTCCGGTTTGGCCGCTCTTCATCAGCATGGTAGTATCGTCCGACCTAGCATCGCGGTTCGATTATTGAATCGCTATCGAATTTTCGATGGATATAATTGTCATGATACGGATATATCGATCAGGGTTAATCGATAACGATTCGAGAATCGGCCCACGACGGTTTCCTAGTCGTTCACCTCGCGGTCGGGGTCGCCTCGACAGACGTCTGCCAGGATTATGTCTTCAAGTCAGTCGGCATCCCCAATTCCCTGCCCAAGTACCCCCT